TTCTGTATGAATCCATTTATCAATCACATTTGCTTGAGGAAAGAGAAATTACCTTCATACGTCAACCATTTCCAGTAGGGCTTATGTGCTGCTCTCACATTCTGAATAGATTCAACAGCACTACAAAAGAAACCGGATTAACAGAATCAGGAATAATGAAAACAGAGGAAACATAACTTACCTCAACAAAAAAGCAAAACCAAAATATCCAACTGAAAATGAACAAGCTCTGGTCTCTCTTCCAAGAATGCAGAACAGAAAAATAAAGAGAATGAAAATCAGTGGGCAGATAGCTTGGAAAGATTAGATTTAAGAGTCAAAAAAGAAAAGAGAAGAACACGTGCAGCATGTACGCACATTTACACACAATGAGTGAAATCCCAACCCTGCTGCTGGAACAAGCACACCTGTCTGAGTTCTCCTGTCTGTCCACGCCTGCCAGAGATTTTATCTACCCAACGTAAAGATTTAATTAGAGTCACTCAAATGCGAGACAATCTGTTCAGAAACCAAGTAAATCACATTCCCTGCTATTCTTCGTGCTGAAATCTTCTTTTTATTACCACTGGTATTTGCAGCACTATGGTCAAATGGTCCTATTATGTTAGCTATCATACATAATTCTACTCATTAAATCCAGAAGAAATTCTGTGTACTTAGAGATTATTTTTAAGGTATTCAGGAGCTGGACTGATATACTGGATAAATATGTAAGCAACTCTTTATTACCTAGGATGATAGCAACTTGAGATACCACAGTTGCTGGAGAAGAAACAGAGGACACACAGGGGCTATGGGATGTGCTGACAGCAAAAAAAAAAACAGCTTTGCTCTGTGAGTTTACCGAACACTACTCAGCCCACAGCCCATGTGTATCTCCACTGCTTCCCTGGCTGATCTGATTCCGAGTTTTAACTAACACAGCCAACTGGTAGGTGCTGCCACCCAAGTGCATGAGGAGCATTACTGCTGGAAAAAGCCCAGGGCAGCTACTGAAGTGGGAGAGAGACTGAGGACAGAACATGGAGACATGGAGGAGGTAGTACAGACAGGTAGAGAGAAAGACACTTTTGTGATGTGGGACTGATTCAGGCCCAAGGTTCAGAATGCTTTACTAGGTCAGATTAACACAGTCTTAGTGTCTCCAAAAAGAAGTTAGACTTGAAATTTAATTATCTTGGTACAGCTCTACACCATCAAGTGCTTTTGCACCCAAAGCCTCAATGCTCCAAATTCTAGAAACACAAGGATTCATCAAGTCTGGCTCTGCAAAGCATCAGCTCTCACTGATGAGAGAAAGGTTAGCTCCAGCTTTTCCTGTACTACAGCAATTGAAGTGGCCCTGGGGTCTGAAGAACTAATCCTTGCAATTGCATACTTTCCCAAATAGTGGCTGTCACTAATTGGCATTGTCTTAATTACAATAGGATTGTCTTAACCTTCAATGAGATGGATTTCTATAGGATAACAAGGCCCAAGGATAAAATGGTTTATGGTTTTATGCTGTAAGATATCACAACTTCAAATAATTTCAGACAGAAAAGTATACAAAACTGTACCTTGGATGGGTTGTTCTAGAATTCTTTATATGCTTACCTTAGACAAGGTGCCATTTCTCCCGTTATTTGAGGTACAGGATCTCCAAGCAAAGTTTTTACAGTCATGCAGACTGATTCAGCCAATGATTTCAAGTGGTATCCACCCTAAAAAAAAAAAAAATTTGGGTCAACTAAGGGACAAGTACTTTTAACACCTCTCTGAATATCATATTAGAAAATAAATTATACTTTTGAAATATATCTGTATTTACAGAAACGAAAGATAATATGAAAGTACATCTAAGTCAATGACTTTCAATATGAAAACAGTAAGTTAGTGGCTACCTGCTGTACTTCACTGGCATCTCATGATTCAGCTCACTTCATCATGGTTCAAATAACTTCAGAAATTACTCATGACTTTGACATGAAAACCTTGGGAACGTATGCCTTCTCCACTCCCATTCGCAACATGCCATCTTCAACAATTCTTGTGGAAGATTCCTTAGAAGGCAAATGCTATCACTGTCCTCTAAAGTGTCTGCATAAGAGAAATCTCATACGGCCTGACACTTTTGGTTGCCTAATGGTTTGGCAGAATTTAGAGAACAAAATAGATTTAGACTGCTAGGTGGTATGCAGGAAGCAATCTATTACCTATGGAGCAGTCACATCATCTGTAGTAGGAGTGGATGCTTATTTGCACTTCAGCTAGTAGACAAAAATATCTATAATAACCAGCTGGAAAGGATGGTGGAAGAAAGGTCATGCAAAACAGAGGTCAAGTGAATCAACTAATTTGCAGTTCACTCTTAGAGACGTGGTTGGCAGCAATATTTCCACACACTTATTTACATGAAAAAACACCATTTTTCTAATGTGCAGCAGAAATAGGGAGTTCAAATCTAGATTTCAAAAGGAGAAAACATTTTTAATTGTTTAAAAAAGAATAAAGAAGAGCTCTTCAAGAGCTTGCATAGAGGCTTTTCATCAAAAAAGAGAATTTTGTAAATGCTCCATTATTAAGTAAGAATATATTTAGGTTAAACTCTCCTGGAATAAGCCATATTTTTTAAATCATTTGTAATGCAATCTATTCACTAAATACATTTTAACGAGTTTGGGACTCTCCACAGCAGTAGACTAGTAACTGTTGACAAAAACTGAACAGATTTGAGAAGGATATTTTTTTGAATGATAAGCATATGGCTCCTCTGTTTCAAAAGTTCAAGATGTAAGAGCACTGCCAAATCTTAGCCATTTTTGCATTCCTGATACTCAAAACAAAGACTAAAAAAAAAAAAAAGGAATTATTTCATTATGAAATTTTGCTTCTTAGCTTCTAGTTTGCTCTAAAATGGCTCTTACACAAAGACCTTTCCCATGGGAGTACATTTTAAAAGTCTTTACCTCTAGGATGACACACAGTTTTCCATTAGCTAATTGCATCAGGAAATGGGTAAGGTGGGCAAAAACCTCAGGAGTGGCATTCATCTGACCCTAAGTCAAAGAAAAATTTTTAAGAAATGAAACCTTGAATCAAAAACATTGGTATGAAACCCATATAAATATAAATATATATATATACACACACATACAAACACTTGTATATATACATACACGTATCTATAGGATAATCTGTCTTTACATTTTTGTAGTGTTTCATACATGCAAACATGTATTTTTAGCTTGATCAAACTGAATTTCACTTATCAATCACAGGAGATTAAACAGGTAGGAGGAATATTTTCTGAACAGATTTGTGACTGACAACACAAAAACCATAAGTTACTTACTTCGGGGTCTCCAATTCCAGAATCATATCCAGAGGAGACAATAGCCAGTTCAGGATCAAACTGTTATAGAATAGAGACAGTTATAGCACATTCTTATGTCCTATTTTCAATTTTGTACCGATTTCAACTGTACCATGATCAACTGTTATTTCAGTTACAATATGAACACAAATAAAGGTTCTCCTTGAATAAATTACCCTTTTACACTATTTTCATCCCTGCCAGAGAAGTTGCAGATCATTATATTGAATATTTAAAAGCTAAAATTCCGTAACACTATTCAGTTCACCAGGACATCATACCAGCAGAAATAATGTGTTAACTCTACTACTGGCAGTTACTGCTTTCTATAAAATATTCAACAGTACCTGCTTAAGAAGCACTTAGGAAGCGGTCTTAGGCAGAAAAAAATTACCTCAAAAGCCACTGGAAGCAATACATGGAAAAATGCAGCAAGATAATCTGAATTTCCCATCCCAACCTGAAAAATATGAGAAACACTGGTTATATTTTCCTGTTGGAATGACAAATTTTCTAAGGTTCTTCAAGACTTTAGGGAAAGATAGTAAAAGCTAAAGATTAAGGAATGTTACTAAGTCCTGTAAAATAAACTCCATTTAAGTCAAGTACATAAATATCCACCATTCTTAATCTTAAGAATGAGCTTCAGTTCTCTGCTAAACAAGAATGGATGTAACCATCTCCTGAAACACTTTCCAATTTGATGGCTAGGCAAGATATTCAAGTAAAAATGTATGTGTAAGTTTTTCTCTCCCTTCTATTTTTTCAATGTTATCACATTCTCAGCAACGTTTTTCAGCAGACATTCCACTGACAGGAAGGATGTACACTCAGCTACGACATCTACCAAGCAAGTGAAGCAGTGCACTCTCTCAGAAAGTGTTACATAAAGAACAAAAGACAAAGCTATTACACTTGCTTTGTTGTGCTGTAAACAATATTTACCTTATTCCAAGGCAAATTTATGTTAAAACCTTTTCCTTTTCCCAGACCCACAGCATCATAATCAGATTCTTTGAGTGATGGCCAGAATTCCTGATGTTCATAACGATGCCAGGAAAAGTACAAAACACTGAAAATAAAAAAAAATAAGTCCAATTTGACAAAGATTCTGAAAATGACTTTATATCCTGAACCTGGTGACTGTATTGCCTGAAAGCAAGAAAATAAAACTGTCCTTTCTCCTTAGTTCTCTTAAAGGACTTGAACTGTGAAAATCTGTACAGTAGGTCCTATGTCAAAATTAACCTAAAATGTAACCTGCTAAAAATGTCTTATATGCATGCACTTCATACAGATCAAAGACAAGGAATTTTCAAGGAATTTTCAGAACAGCACACTTGTTTCTAGAACCTACTTACATGAATTTTCCAAAAATAATATAAAGCCCACATATTTTATCCAACTACTATTTGAAGACTTTATCTGAGAGATTCCTGAATACAAAGAGTACTCATGTATTACCTGAGTACTGGCAAATCAAGGTAATCATATTGCTCATTTTATGTTTGTTATTCTTTAAAAAAATGTAAATCTGTTCTACTGGATTTTAAATTTTTCCCTCTATTTTATAACAAGTAAAAAACAGAGTGACTAAAATAGCAAAGCAAATGTTTTGCAAGATTTTAGTTTTAGAAGGTTAAAAAAAATCTTATTCGCTACAGACGCAAAACAATCTTTAAACAGCTAACATTAAAAAAAATGAAATATACAAATTTTCAAACCTTGGATCCTCTTCAAATATATACTGAGTTCCTTGCCCATGATGCACATCCCAGTCAACAATTAGGATTCTGTATTGAAAACAAAAGAAAACATTCAGTGGAAGAACCACAGCATCTTAATCTACAAAAGGTACAAATGAAAAATGTTTTTCTGAACCAAAAGGAACACTCTAGACAATAATCTAAACCAGTACAATGTCAAACTGTTACTTGCATATGAAAGGCTTCTCTAGAGTCAACCATGCACTTACCTCTGTAGACCATATTTCAGTTTTGCATATTCTGCTGCAATAGCAACATTGTTGAACAAACAGAACCCATTAGCTGCATTTCTCTGGCTGTGGTGACCTGGAGGTCTGAACCAAAGTTTTACAAAGTTAATAACAACGAAAGAAACTCTGCCAAGAAGTGAAAACTTTCTCACACATTTTCCTACCTTACTAATGCCATTCCATTGCGCCCTTTTCCTGACATCACAGAGTCCACCAGCTGCAAAGTTGCTCCTACTGCTAGTCTGGCACAGCGGTAAGTGTTCTGAAAAAGAGAAACTCATAGTTGTCATCAATTACTCATCAACTTAAACTAATCACACATCACATGCTTTAGCATCCCAACAGTGAATTGTCTTGACATAATTCTACCCAACTGAAACTGTATGAAGACAGTTGAAACAGGACTTTACAACACAGGTTCCAATGTGCTTTCCATTAGGATTACCTGTGATCACCATAACCTTTATAAGGATGTTCTCTGTGGAGCAGTTAAGAAACATGAGATGGACATATTGAGCAGACTAATATGGCATCTTTGAAAAAAAGAAACAAAACCACACAGAAACAAAACACAGAAGACTTCATCTTCCTTACTTGGCACAACATTTAAGAGCAATTGTTAGCAAAATGTGATTAACAGGTCACTAATTGTCTACAGTGACATTAAGTGACAAAAATAGAGCTAAAATTTGAGTAGTGCACTATACTGGCATGATACAATTACAGAATAGATGACAGGACATTTAACCAATTTAAATTACAGCATTATACTAAACTTGAAACATATAACAATAACATCATAAATAAATGTGAGACTAAATAGCAAAAATTGTATTGCCAATTTTCCCCTACTTGACATCTTAGTGTCACTCAGATGCGATAACACAAATACTTGTAACTCCCAAGAGAGGAAGCAGTTTAATTTACACACCGGATGAAAGAAAAAAGCATCATAATTTTCAGAGACTCTTTTCAGCTCCTCCTCATTCATTGTCTGAGTGCTTTTTGCCACTTTCAAGTGCTCTGAACTGCAAAGGAGAGACAGATTAACACAACACTTAACTATGCAACTAGAATTTTTTTTTAATGTAGAATGCAACAAGAAGTAACAGAATATGTTATGATGGGCTTTCTGTGGGGCTTCAGGAGTCCAACAGGTACTCTGGAATGCTAGATGTAGGATATAGTGAAAAAAATAAGGAGCTCTATGACAGCAAGGGTTCTTGAATGTCTTAGAAGTACAACATTTTTCTCTCTTTTTCAGTGGTAAGAGTAATTAGTCTTGCTTTCAAAAAAAAAAAAAGACTCTTTGTTCATCATGCAGCAATCTATTTTGTAATCCATGCTATATATATACACACCACCTCAACAAGAACTAAACTTTGATTTTGACAGTCATCAGAGTGTGAATTACAACTTTGAGAATATGCATCTAGTTCTGTCTTGTTCTGTGAAAAACAAACTTTTGAGTGAATCCCTTATTAGGTGTCTACTAACTCCCTCTTTTCACTGGTTCAAGAGTGCAGTAAGTACTAAGGCACTAGCATCAATGTTCCCCCAATTCTCTGTCACTGATCTCCTGCCTTTCTGTAGTGAGCTGGAAATGGAGGATGATGGCATCCCATCTGTGACCTAATCCATATATGCATTCCTCTAGGTGGATAACACCAAAGTAGCCAGAATTTCACAAAAAAATGAGACATACTAGTGCAGCCTAATGGAAATAAACAGTTGCTTCAAAACAAAGGTATTAACAGGAATAAAACCATATGAACATGAATAACTACCTACTTACTAGTTTAACTTCAGCAGCAGCCTCATAACTAACCGTGAGCACAAATAAAATATTCCTAGAAGAGTTATAAATTTGTTTCAATCTAAAAGTGTTTTGGAGTGTATTATCTCTACCTTACCTATGTAAACCAAGACAGTGAAGTGATTTGCTGCAATCATCTAGTAGGAGCAAATCAACTGAAAATAGTGATCAAGCCTCTTCCATACCCAATCAGCAATGTATTTACCGTGAAAATAAATTATATTGGTACACAGCACTAATTGCAGTCTAAGAAGCATGTTTTTTAGAAGAAATACTGTTTTGGAACCTGAAAATTCAAGAATGACTTAGGATCAAGCTATGGTCCTGTTCATAGGTGTCAGGGCCCTGAGTACATCCCTTCCCTCCTGGGGTTTGGCTGCTGTGTCCAGAACAAGCAAAGACAGTGCAGCTGGTCACCTTGAGAGAGAGCACTAGAAGGAATGTCAGCAGAGGCACCCTCCAAACAGCTCTGCTAAGAAGCCTCAGCAGATGCTGCTCCTCCTTCCCTTGGCTCTTGTTTCCAAGATAAGGCTCTTTCTCTTGGCTACACTGCAGCTGTGTCGTGTAGCAAAGTCTGTGTTTGGCCACGCAGCCCATTAATCTGGACCTGGACCCTGACCTGTGCACTGACTCTCCAGCTTGACTTCAAACCTGCCGTGTCACTATGGCCTCGCTGGGCAGACTAAACTCATGGCTGAATCCAGGTACCATTGCTGGACCTGTGCTGGGGATTGTGGGATTGTGGCCTTGTCCACAAAGCTATTGCCTCTGCCTGCTCTGTCATCACTCTCTGCTCCAGATCCCTTGCCTTTTGGAAAAGGCTGCCCTTGCCACTCCCTGACAAGGGCAAATGAGCACACAAGCAACATGCAGAATCATCTGCAGCTGGCTGCAGAACCATCACACCGAGGTGACAAGTGCCAGAGCAAATTTCATTGCCATGACTGCCCAGAACAGACTGGCTGCTGTTCCTCCGACATCCACCTCTCCATAGAATTCTGTTTGGTCCATTTTATCTCAAAGATGCTTAAGAAAGAAGAGGTTATTATCTTTCTAAAGAAATACCCATTTTCCTACACTTTTCAAGGTCTTGTCCCGGTTTTTTTTAGAAGTTTACTTTTATTCCTATGTATAAATGAGCATTCGTTGCCTAAGATCCCAAAGAGTGAAAATGGGCGTTTAGTGGGATAGCAGATTCATAATTCAGCACCTACACCATACTCAACATTATTCAACTAATTTTCAGTGTGACACATTTTCCATTGAAATCAATGGAAGTCACTGAATTTTGGAGCAGCCCTTTTCAAATGGATCAAAATATGACCTGGACGTACAAGTTCTGCTGTTTCATTGAGTTAATCTGAATGGTAATGAAAGTTAAGTTTCAGACCTGTGAACCAACAGGATCTCCTCCTCGCTTCCTTCTCTGGCAGGCACATGGACACATCTTTCCACAAGGTGATAACATTTAAGCTGCTCATAGGAGGATGAAAGTCTTTCTGGCACTTCAATATCACAAACAGGACTGAAAATAAACAATAATCATATTACTATAATATCATACAAGCACAGCTAACAAATACACTTCATAAAGCCTCGCTTTCAACTCCCCATTGTAAGAAGATTCATTACCCTCAAAGATGGACATGTGAGAGTAAAAGAAAAATAAAATCTTCGAACACTTTTCGTTTTGGAACCAAGTTAGAAATTTATTCTAAAATATGTAAGAAAAAAAATAGTTCTTTAAAAAAAGCCAACCTACATAATAGCATCTTTTTATTGTTTCCTCTCCCACTGCTGAAAGTTGCAGTGCTTAACTACAGACATGGGAATGCTGAAATTAAAAGCTGTAGATTAAAGTGAAGGTGAACAGAGGAGAAGCAGGTTTGGAAGAGAAGAAAACAACGGATTGTTACCCTGAGCATTGCAAAGGAACCGGTCTAATTTACGTAAATTTAAGTAAGTGGCATATACCAATTTCTAACTGAATTTAATTGATGAATTTCAGCTGAGTGAGTGTACCTACATACTTTTTCCAAGATCAATAATACTTTAGCTTTATAAACAATTTTATTAGCTTAAAATACTTAATTTAGGGGCCTACTCAGATGCCTCATGCTAACGCTTCTTATTAAGGCCTCTCAGAGGCTGGAGGCTACAGCTTCTCAAATCCAGCTTCAGATTATCATTACATTATCTAGATACAAATTGCACGTAAAATAAATTTTCTTCTCCAAAAGGAGAATACCTACCACTAGGTATTCCCTATTACGTTTACAAAAAATGCATTTAGTTGGTACTTTTCTCACAAGTCCTAGTAAGAATCTATTCATAAAAAGAACAGCATTGACTTACTCACTCCAAAGTAGTTTGTGAGTGGTCATCTCCTCATCATAAATCAGCACTGTTCCTGAAGCCATTGCTACAGACTGAGCAAAACAAAAATCCCAAGACACATATTTCAGCCCAGAAGTAAACTTAATCTTAAAACAGTTAGTATTATACTAGTTAGTGAGAATGTAAGTACAGAGCATATCTGCTTGCATGACAATTTTGCACTTTAGACTTTGCACTTACAGAACGAAATCAAAGAAAAACATTTAGGACTCAGATTTTGACACAACTGAGGAGCAAGGCAGCAGTGCAAAGCTGATGGCATCGACCTGGAAATTGGATGCAGGCAGGCAGGATTCACCATTACCCGAGTGCTCAAGCACTCGGCGCTGGCTCCCGGTACGGGTGAAGGGAGTACAGGCCACCTCCCCAAGCCCCCCTACCCACTCAGAGCCTCACAAGTCAGGTGGGGCTCTGAACACAGGCCTCCTCCCCCCATCGCACACCGACTTACCTGTCTCGGCTGGGGCGAAGCCAAACAGCTGCGTGAGAAAGCTTGCGTTACAAAGCCACAGAGTACGAACAACAGACCTCGTACACCACGGACAGAACAACTACACGGATGTGCCCCGTTTAAAACCCAAGCGAGGCACTAAAGAGAGAGGAAGAGGCCGAGCAGCGCACAGCGGGTGCGAGGGCAGTGCCGGCAGCGGGGCCGCCGCACCCGAGCCCCGGAGCCGCCGGAGGCCGCGGTTCCCTGGGCCACGGGCCCGCTCCGCTACTCGCCTCCCGCTGCCGGGAAGCCTATGGCAGCCTCTGGCAGCCCCGCGGCCGACCTGTGGCTTCCAAAAGCGAGGGCAGCGCGTCCCAAGCACGTGGCCGCAGCCCGGAGCGCCTGTGGGAGCCCCCACCCCGCGGCCGCCCCGGGTGTGCCGGGAGCGCACTTTAAATCCCGGTGTGGGATTTCCGCCGGCGCCGCTGTGCGCGTCACTCCCGCACAGCGGGACGTGGGCGTGGCGCGGCCGGAGGTCCCTGCGGGGTCGGGCGGGTCGTGGCCGGGGGAGTCCGACCACTCTAAGGGTTTTAGTGCGGAACTGACCCAAGAGCTAAACATCCCACAGCCCCTGACTGTGTGGTATTTCCTGACGTAGGGAGAAATAAAGTAAGAACCTGAACGAAAGGGATTTACTGCTCCATTTCAGCAGAGTGACGGGAACGTGGTCAGCCCGAGCTCCGCCTCCCGCACGCCCGGGCCCGGCTCTGGTGCCTCCCCGGCCCATCCGAGCCGGCACGGGTGTGTAGGGCAACGAGAGCCTCCTGTAAACACTGACCGCCTTCTTCCTCAGTTTCTACTGGTTTCCCAGTTCATGGTAGAAAGTGATGGAATAGGTGTCGTCAGACCTCATAACCTGGTACAAACCTGAACTTCTAGGGGACACATTGGGAACCCAGATCGTTACAGGTGCGACTTCTAGAAATTTATTGCCTGTAAACTTTCTCTGTATGTGTTTCAAGAAAATATGGCCATAATAGATGCTGTATTACTGAAATAGTTTCTAATTTATGTATTATCAATTACGTGTTACTGTGTTTATTATACACATCTATAAAACTTAGCAAAATTCTGTCCATCTTCGTGTAGCTTCCAATGTTAGGGTATTGCACTATAATCATGTGGCCGCTGCAGTATTTCACTTTTTTTTTTTTTTTAAATGTTGTCACTTCATTAGTTCCCTGCAGACCACCTGGCCAGCTGGTAAAGTTTATACGTTGACTTTTGTTATGTGTCTGAAAATGAAAGGGACTTTTCAGTAGTGAGGATCTGATTTATTCCAGTTGAAGCATGTTATATTCAAGATGGTCGCACAAGAATAAAAATGTTTCACAATCTGCATTTATCCTATGCTCTCAGGTGTTACCCCTGGGATGCTGTCAGCTCTGTCATTCTGAAGTGCATGACAGCTCTGTCATTCTGAAGTGCATGACAGCTCTGTCATTCTGAAGTGATGCCCAGTAACCAAATCTTCTTGTGATTGGGACCAATCATACCGTATTTACATATTCCTCTTTATTCCATCCGGCAAAGGCGACCAGCAGGGGGCTACCTCCTTTCAAAATACTCCAACGGGAGAAAATGAGATGGACTCATGAAACATTAATCAAGGGAAAGTTTAGAGAACTGGAGAAAATGGTAGAGTGGGTAGTATGGAAAAATACATGAAAAGTAGTCAGCTGGCTTAAAACTAGTTTATGCCAGTTTTGCACACATTATGATTTTTTTTTTTACCATAACTCAAAGAAACATTTATCCGTGGCTGTCCAAGTTCAAACTTGATGTGACTGGCTCTAACTCTGCGGAAAGGAAGCCTTTAATTGGAGTTAAACTTATAATACAATTTAAAAGGAAATTAAAGCTTTACATTCCACTTATAATACATTCCTATTTACAAGATAGGTTTAGCAAGAGAAATATAATAATCTTTTTACAAATAATATGATAAATATTTACAAGCATTTATGGTATCTCCACTTCTGAGTGGCCAAAGTCAGCTGGGAGTCCTTCCTCTGCCAATGATAAACCTGATTTACTAAAATGATGCCCTCTTCAATATTCCCCATGAGGAGATACACCATGGGCCGATGGGTTGGAGTCATCCTCTGTGTACATTTTTCATTAATTAGCAGCCACTGTCGTATCATACTCTGAGTTTCATAAGGCAAGAGTGATCCCTGGGTAATGAATTCCACTTGGCATTCAATGTTATACTCTTGGTCATCAAATACTGTTCTCCTCTTGGACAGCTTTACTTTCACTGCTAAGGAAAAAAGAAAAGGAAACATGAGTCATTCCATCTCTCAAATGCAGAAGGAAACATTGTCAATGAAAGAAGAATGATTACTTACAAATACAATCATAATTTACGCTGATAGACTATGGTGAGGCCTTCTCCAGCAGCAGTATAAAGTTTAAAACATTTTTGAAAAATAAAGAGTATGTAGTAAAGGGGGTTTTTACATTGAATTAAGTAACTAGGAAAAAAATATTTTCATGAAAGTGAGTAATGTGTTTTTACCATAACCATGTATGTCAGACTTTTTGTGTAATTACATATTCTAAGCTGTTGGTGTTGTTCTTGTATCACAAGGCTGTCCAGTTTGCCCAAGCAATTCTCCTGAAACTCACTTTGTCCAGGTTGGAAACCGCTTGGCAAAAAGCTAGTAATGTTTGCTGATGCCACCCTTTTAGATATTCCCTTTTCATTATAGGCATCTACCTACCTCATTTGACTCCACTAACACTTTTTAGTATGAAATTTCTCTACACTGCTTGATCTAATGCCAGCCAAAGTCACTGAGGGTCTCTGCACTGACATAAAGAGTTTTGCAGGAAGTCTCTGGGGGAAACTCCACTCACTTGTCACTCCAATAAGACAACATGCAGTAAGAATTTCTTTTACTGATGTGATTTTCTGAGTCTCCTTTTTAGTAAGCTATGTATCACAAAAAATTCATGCACACAACTAATGAGGATACACTGTTCGCACGTAAAACACCAAAGATTTACTTTGACTTTAACCAGTAATAAAAGGCAAACTTACTTATTTGTCTGCTTTTGACAGAAATACTTTCCATAAAGCATGTTGTACTGCAATGTAGCCAACTAAACCAGAATAGAAGAGATATTTGGTTGCAAACTAGATCATTAATAAATCTTTCATGCAAAATAAATCCTCCTTATATTTTGATTAGAAGGAGCATATTCTGAAAAACAACCGAAAGTTAAATCTGCAGCCAAACTCTTAAACCTTTGAAATCCCAGCAGAAACTGTTACTTATTGTAATCCTACTTTTAAAGCATTGAGAAGAAAGGTTATTAGTCTCTTTAACAGCAGCTGTATTAGCAAGGACTTACCAAAGTTACTGTCACAGAAAACTTCGAGAACTCCTCTGTGTGTAAAGAATTCTTCCACTGCCGGGCAGGTCTGGCAGGCAGGCCTTGGTAAGACTGGTATGAAATTACAAATTCTCATTGTTATATTTTAGAATAATTTTAGTTTTCTGCTGTCAAAGCCGAGAGCCCACTGTTTAACCACAGGGATGACAGACAAAATACACAACTGACCAGTGATAATAGGTAAAAATCAACACACTTCTCTGAAAACATGGCTAGAGATGAAATGGAGCTTCATTTTCCATGCATATTCAGACATTTTTCAGACTGACAAGCTCAATTATCAGCAACAGATAAAGTAACAAATACAGAATTATTTTTAGCACAGCTAGAGTGGGTGGGAAAGGGTTTGGGTGGCTGATTCTATCAGTGACTGGGTGCAGCTGTGCTAGGGTTGTGAATGTATGAATTTGGGTGTGCTAGCAGCAACTGATTCCTATTGTTTTCCATAGAAGTTAATAAGAACCTAATGCATTTGAAGATTTGAACGTTAATGCAATGGTAACTCAGGTTTCCCTGAGTATTCCCAATTTTTCTAAGCTGATCTGAGAACCAACTCATTGTATACATAAATTTATCTGTGATAAGGGCCATTGATAAGTCTATAAAGAGACCTTAAAATAATTCAAACACAGTGGGCTGCAGTGGGTATGTTACTGCCCACAGCTGTGCAGGGTCATAATTGCCTTCCTCCTCTATCTAAGCGTGGTCTACTGCACTTTTCTTTTTTGAAGCAATGCTGATTTCCATCATCTGAGATCTGCTGCAGCTTACACTGCAAATACTAGCACTTCCCTGTCCATCTACATGAACAGGTGAAGCAGCAAAGGTAGACACAATTCCATTTACGAAATCACAGATTGTCTGGTAACAGTGTCCCTTGTATCTCCTTGATTCCCAGAACAGAGGGAGGCCACCCTTCCCTCTGCCATCTTCAAACTACCTTTGTGCAAGTGTTTATATTCCTTAGTAACAGATGCCAGGCACATGTCCTCATCCTCAGGGAATCGATCGCAGTCCAGACTGTCAGGCCAGGGGTGTCCATGGCAGAGGAGCACGAGGGCACAGCTGTCACGGACAGCAACACACATACTCCTACAAGGATGGATAAACCTGTCGCCAGAGGAAATACCAGGCTGAGTCAAACTCACGCAGTGATAACAGAAAAGGTTGCAACAGTGATTCCTGTGCAAAGTACATTGTCTTCACTGATATTTAACATCCTTCAATAATAATATAATTCCAGAAGCAGCAGCTGTGCAAACTATGCAAGTAAATTGTCTGTATATGGACTGGACTGAGCTTACAGCATTAAGTTATGATTTTTAAAATGTCTTTATGACAACCTGAGAAAAGCTTCAGTATAAACCTGATTCTATTCACAATAGGTGCTTCAACCCTAAATGAATAAGAATAAATTTCAGCTGTAACAAAATAAAACATGGTATCCTTTGACAACAGCATTCATGTTCCCAAAGGAAACTAAAGTTGGAAATGGTACAAGATTTCAGTACCTTTTTTCTGATGAATATAAAAAAGCTAATAGAATTACTTCAGAAAACGTGGAGATTGCTTTTAGATTATGATAAACATGCATTTCATTTCATCCCTGTATTGTACTGTGCTGTGGTACTTACGTATCTAAACAGATGGGTGCAAACAGGGAGCACAGGAACATCCTCACGTGAGAGTGACAGTCTGTGTGTACAAGGTGCTGCCAGGTGGTGGATTTTAGGATAACCTCTGCCATGCTTGTGTGTCCCATCAGGTTGGGAAGCCTCATTTCAGCGTATCCAATATTGTGGCACATGCCCATCTCCTTGGGTATCACTACACATTTTGTGGATAATCCAATGTCAAAGCCTGTTGCTGCTCTTAGGAAACCATTCACAGCAAAAACAAATATTTTTGCAGTCAATAACATCTTCCAGTGACTCCTGGGCTTCTGAGCAGGGAGCTGTCAAACCCCCCAAGTGCAGAGGCACGCTGAAAACCTAGTGCCTTATATATCCCAAGAGCTTAATGAACTGTTGGTTATCAACTGCTTATCAAATCACTTGAGACAAGACCAGGTCTTATTGCCTAATCAAGGGACTGTTGTGACAGGCAGGGAGGTGGACGCAAAGTATAGAAGTATGTTCCCTAAGTACACTGATTTGGTATAGCCTTTCACATGTCCCACGGTGTCAGTGGCTGCAGCATGCTATGTAGCATATTAAATTTTGACACCTGTAAGGCTTGCTATGTACTTTCTAAAACAAATTAAGAGATCATCCAGAAAAAGAGTTGGGCAGACAAGCTGTCTCCTGGGGCTGCTGTGTCTCCTTTGTTTTCAGACACTGTTGACATGGCAGAAAAAACAGCCCAGATTGACTTATCAAGTGAAAATGTTTTGCTTGTGCTAATTGCCCATGTCTCTTTCGCTGTTTCACAATGTAGAAGAGGTACTTTCTTTGGTCAAGCACTAAAAAAGAGACAGTCTTCCGCTATAAGGCAAGTATTTTGCCTGGAAATTTCGATCCCTATTGTGTTATATGCTAAAGGTCCTAACTTCTATTAATTTTAATAGGTACCTGAAAATACAGAATTGAATTTGTAGGACCATCAGTATGGCCAGGAATTTGCTGGCCATCAGTATTTATTCAGAGTGAAAAGGCAGTACACATACAGAGAAACATTTTTGTTATTTCAAATGAAGCTGGTTACACTTTTAAAATTGCTCAAATAATGAGGCATTTAATCTGTTTATTAATAAATTATAATAATTATGCCAGATGTGTACTTTTCCTGTGCATAGCACAAAAAAAGGTATTAAATTCACTAAGTTAAAAGTAACAGAATTACTACTGAGCATCTCATTACTGTTGGTATAGTAGTGATAGACAGCTCTTCATTATAGAGAAGCTGGGAACCAGTTAAAGTGAGTCTGAGTAATGTGTAGCTTACCTAATATGAATAGGAAAGTCAGAGTAGTGTTAAAAGTTAAAGATCTAAAAAAAAATGTTTGTGGAAATTTTTAATTTGATTAGAACAGTTTTTCCAACTAGTTGCGAATGTTAATTTTTATTTCCACATCTGATTACATGCTTTATTAGCATAAATTCTGAGCAATTAATAATATCTATTGCAAAATATCTGGCTTCATTATAAGGCTAAAATAAGTATGTTCATAGTAGTGTATCATCTAGTATTACTGATGCTTGATTGAAACATGTTTTTCAGAAACAGTAGCGTTTTGTGCTTATATTGAGATGCAGCACGGTTAAACAATATGTGGCATATAATTTACATGTTTATACCTAAATTTTAGGCTAATAAATCTTCATATCTTTGAAACCTATGACAACCCCCCACTGATTCCTCCTTAGCGATCTTCTTTACTCTAAGCTACTGGGAAAATTACAGTATCTGTTTAAATAAGTGAGGAAAAAAATTACAGCATGCAAGGGCCCAGGAACTAAAAACGTATATTTCGATATCTTTTGGAGAACCAACTTTTGGTAGATCATCATTTTGTAATGCTAAAGAAAATAACTTTTCTCCATGTGAGTACAGAGGTAGCTTTGGAGGTGGAGAGCCCAGCCATGTAGGAGAGTCAGAAAGGAGCTACACACTACTGCTTGGCCTCGTCTGGCATGGTGCTTCAGTGGAGAACCTGGAAGATTCAGGAATGTGGAGGAAGCTCTATGGTTTTGCCACCAGAATAATGGTGAGACATATACTTTGCTTCTGTTTCTTCTTGATTTCTTGCTGTTTAGACTGAAGTAGCCATTCACCCACGGGGTAGCAAGACATTATGCATTTGTCAGGATTGATGAAACTCGCTCAAGGGCTGAAGAACTGTCACCAGTTCCAAGAGAAAAATGTGCATAAATGCCTTTACTGGGTACCTATGACTGGGCTGTATCTGAAGCCAGAGCATTATCCATAATTCAGTAATTTTTTATAGCCATCTTCTGTCAGGAAAGAGAATCATTTACAGGAGCTTCTGATTTCTCTCTCTTTAGAAAGTCACTTGGTTCATGATGTTAGCTGGGTCAAATTCCTTACCTGTGCCATTTTAAGTGTCATCATTTACTAAGAAATGTATCAGTTGGACATCCTTTTTACTACACTCACAAGACACTTTTAAGCAAGGGAAAGACTTTGACTGTGCTTCTGTTCAGGCTCAATTATTTTGATGTTCTTCATGAGCAGGTGCTACCTTTGAACTTGGTTTGACAGCAAGTCATTATAATTTATAATTTTTAGCAAGAGTCTTGCAGGACATAATAAAAATAACCATGCAGAGTAGATTGGCATTGCTTGGAGAGTTTCAGATTAGTCAGATGTTGGCTCCTCAGCAGAAGCATAAGCTGCAGCACTCACATTGCTGTGCCATTGATTCTCCTTTTTTGCAAACACTCAGTTGCTCATTTACATGTCATGGAAAAAAATCAGGCAAATATACACACAGATTGCTTTTGTGAACTCAGTAAACTGTGATTTACTGTTGCCACACCAGTTAACATTCAGATTGCACAAAAACTGGCAGGGGCACAGTATTTCTAATTGTACTGATATATGTCTGTAGAGGGTGCTTGAATAAAGACTGGCTAAAGTAAAAAAAAAAAAATTAGTTTAGCAAACTATCGTGACAATTGCAGTGCCTGGATACACTTAGAGGGGGCAGCATAAAATAGAAGACCTGAGGGTTCAGAGAGATTTATATCTGGAGTCCAGCTAATGCCCTTTGAGACTTCTGAAGAAAGCTGTGCGGTGATTCCACAGGCTATATTTATTGTTCCTGGATACGAGCAGGGGACACCTACTGATGGACCCTGATAAGAGGAACAGTGGCCCGGAGATTCGGTCCCTGCCCACCTCTGTGTCTTCTCCTTTGACTGTTACCAGGGAGACAGACAGACATTAACCAGGAGACATCCATAAGAGCGAAGTAAGAAACAAGATTGAAATTTTCTTCAAAGAAAGTAGGGGTTTGAGAGCAAACTCACAGATGTAGGGATTTTTGGTTTTAATCTAAACATTTGTTGCAATATTTGGCTGGAGTCATTTTTATCTGGAGTCAATTGCAGAGATGTAAGGCTTCCAGACAGAAATCAAAGCTAGTAACTGCACTCTGAGTCACCAAAGGAGGCTGCAGAGGCGTTCCGCACTCTGATGAAAGCTTTGCTGGACCAGCATCCTTACTCTTCAGGGCAGGATTTATTCCATAATGTTTCCCTTGCTTTGTGAAAAAAATAATTAGGCCACATATGTTATCTGTAAAACAGCAGAGAGTCATAGATGCCTTTGAAAAGACCTCATTAATTTATTTGTCGCAATACTTTAGCATTGCTTTAATTTTTAAAGGACAGAAATACTGTATTTCCTTATAAATCTGTAATGCAAATTGTTACAGGCTCACTACTCTGGCATATTGAGCTCTGGCCCTTTTACTATCAGTTGATTAACTGAGAGGAAAGTTTGTTTAAATAATGAAAGAGAAAGTCAATGCTTTGGGTGACCCAAACTTAGTTTCTGACTCTGCCACCTTTCCTGTGGAAGCTTTAACCCTGCTGCGCTGTACTCCTGCAAGTGTTCAGATGTTGCAAGAGCAGGGAGAAGGCATGTAAATACCTACACAGATTCCAACAGTATCACTCAAAGGCACTGGAGTGCTGAATACTCTACAAACACTGGGTAAGTAGCATTTCCTAAGTAGGCCGAGTCAGTCAGGGATGTAAAAAGGGCACAGGAAAATGAGATGACTTGCTAATCAGCTGGCAGCTAATGCAGGCATACAACTCTGGGCTTTGCCATTGTTCATTGATCCTTTCAGCATTTGGAGGTCCTGCACAGCAGTATTCTTGTCACTGCAGAACAGGACAAATTGCATAAAGTGATTTTAGGGGAAGAACTGAAATCCTGTACTGACTTACTGGTGGCACACTTATGAAATTGCATTTAGGCCATGTCCCGTGTGCTGCAAGTCAGGGCCTCACAGTAAACAGTGTGTTGGTTAAATGCTGTGTGAAGCTGTTTGCTTTCAAGGTGGCTGAAAGAGGAAGTGAAGCCCTGGCATGGTTATTGTTAAAAAGGTGCAATTCTGCTTCATAAGAAGTGTGGCAGGATCAATAGCATCGTTGTTTTTGCTCCATGGGTAAGCAAATTCCAAATGATAGCTTTCGGGTGAGAGCAAAATACATTCTGAATTTAGGGGTTTACACTACTGATCATATACCAGATGAGCACCTTCCACAGAGAGGCAGTAGTAGTAACAGCCACTCTTTTCTGTTTTTCCCCAGGTAAAAAATTAAACTTCTTACAGCTGCTTTTTCCCCTTGATTGGTATTGGTCTGCTGCTTTGGCTAATACTGCCTACTTTTCTTTTTACTTTTCAGTCAGTTTTACTTGGTTTCAATTTAGTTTTGCTCTGATTTAATTCTGTGGAAGAAGGACCATTTGACAAATGTAGTTTCATGTATTTCAGGCACAATTCCTCCCCTTTCTTTTAAACTTGAACAGTTTTTGCAGTCTTTTGGCAACTGGGCTGATGCTGGTTTTCTATCAAATTTTTATCATAGCTGAATCTCCTCTCATGTATTTTCCGTCACAAGCAGCTCCAAATGAAATAAAAGTGAGGTTAAAAGAGAGCTCACCGAATGTTTCCAAATCTCTGTTAACAAAAGGGAGTACAAGTAGGCTCTAACTCTTTCACGGGGAGACAGAGGAACAGCCGTTTGGGCTATAAGTAAACAGCAAGTACATACCAACTATTTGTAGTCCATTGAGAAAGTAAACAGGGTCATCTTGTCTACATCCCCCCCCCCCCCCCCCCCCCCCCCCCCCCCCCCCCCCCCCGATTCTTTCTTTGTCTGTGGTCTGTAGCCAACTACCCATCATCAAGATAAGACGGAAACACATTAAGTCTTGAAAATTATGTCTGGCTTCTGGCTGCCACTGGAGATAGCTCTATCAGTTAAGCAAGTAAAACCCCCTGTGAGTGCTCCGCTGACTCCAGCATGCCTGGAGCCCATTCCTTTTAAGTCACTTGGCAGTATTGTGCATCCAATTTCTATGTACCCCAGCCACCCGGCGGACACGCTTAGGCATCTGAGGTTTTAATAGCACAGAGCAGGCCAGGCTTTCTTCACTTTAACATCATGGGGATCAGCGAACTTGAAGCCTCTGTTTAAAAGGCAAACTTCGGCCTAAATAATTTGTTAAATAAGCAAAATTAAATAATGTCTGTAAAGTTTCACAAATACATAGATGTGCTTCAAATATCTGAATTAGATATTATGGCCAAATCTTCTTTAAGCAAAATTCCCTCTGGCATTAGCAGGGTTTTTTTTCTTGAATAATGAACATAGAATCATAAAATCATTCAGGTTGGAAAAGACCCTCGAGATCATGAAGTCCAGCCATAAACCTTACACTGCAAAGTCCCACTAGACCATGTCCCTAAGCGCCATATCTACATATCTTTTAAATACTTGCAGGGATGGTGACTCAACAGCTTCCCTGGGCAGCCTGTTCCAACGTGTGATAACCCTTTCTGCGAAGAAATATTTCATAATATCCAATGTAAACCTACCGTGGTGCAACTCAGTGGTAGAATGTACATTTCCAGGCACTGAAAATGTATCTAAATCTAAATAATCAAAGCAAATGTTCCTGTTGCAAATGTTTTTGGTGAACTGAGACAAAACTGAATATTTGTCAAGAAATAGTCAAAGTTACACTCTGGACATGAATTTGAGATTCTGATCATTAGAATCTGGGCAGGTTTTTTTGGTTATAAACTGCTTTCCAAACCATGAGTCATCTTGTTTTTAAGGATAAAAAGATTTAAAATGAAAATATATTTTCTGGATAAATCCTAACCTTTATTTTTAAGTTTCTACGTTAGTGTAGTTTTGTGAAGAGATTTATTACTTTGGGTTTTTTACCCAAAAGCATTTGCAGACTTCTTCACTCAAGTACAAATGTGCACACTAAACTGTAATTAAAAGTAATAATTGTGTCCTGAACTCAAATGTGTGTATAGTCAATATTCCAAAACTTGTTGGGATTCTGAGAAAATATGAGAAAATATATTTTTAATTGTGGCAATTACAAATTATTTACAAGAGTAATTGCTTTACAAATTAGTGTGTTTATTCATAGGGGTATGGTATATAATTTTTACCTGACTGCCATACAAATATTTGATGGGAATAGTTCTTTTATGTTCTGTGCCATAAACTATGAGCTCGAAGTGTAAAGAGTACTCACTGAAGATATGAATACTTTTTTTTTCACTCTCCCTGCTTTAGATATTCCCTTATACACATCATCTGGACAAATAAGATCCCAAAAGAGAGCCCTTTGGAGCCTTTAAAGCACTTTCTTATTCTGCAAAAAGACACACTTGCTGTTGCAGCTGTCACTAATCTACTTTTCTCCAGTATTTTTTGTGTATCGAGGAACTCAAAACATTTTTCAAGGTTAAATAAATGAAGCCACAAACAGCCTTTTGTTTTGATTACAAATGCTTAGCCAAATCAGACCTCTGTATAAAGGAAGTCAGAGAGAGCAGGAGCACAGCACTCTAGCAGGCAACTGGCAGGACCATGCTAAGCATTAGCTGGATCATCGTGGGCAGCTCTAGACTTCAAATGTGATAATGGCTTCATAGACACTACTTTTTGAATTGAACTTTTATGATTTTCTCTCTGTTGTCATACAGGGATGGTATCTCTATAAATAGTCTGTAAGTCTTCTTGTCTGTCTGAGAAGACATTTAGAACAGTTACGTAAAAGCAAGTCTTTTTATATGCACCTAATAGGGTTACATAGTGCCTTCTCGTAACACTGTGATGCTGGGCCTTCAAAATGTGCAAAACCTCAGCAATTGGTCCTATAGAGACATTCATGTAGCCCCAATCATTCCCACGGCAGGCCTGACAGTCAGGGAATCAACTGCTTCATTCCCACCGCTCCTTTATGTGGGACAGCCCCATCGGTATTCACGACAGACTTTAAATCCTCTGCAAAGGGGGAGAATTCAATTAAAAAAAACCCCACCAAACCAAAACAAACCACAAATCAGTCTTCAAACAGAAAGCATAGACTCTCTCTTTAGGCCTTTGGGCAGACGGCAGGGTCCTTTCCTTTCTCAGTGCTTTGCTGCTTTGTATTGCACACATTGCCTCTGTTGACATCAAAGACATTTGGTTTCTATTATCCTATCTCGAAGAGAAATTCGCTGATAAAGGAGTCTCCACCCCAATGATTAAACCCTATTTGGATTTCAATACCTGGGCAGAGCTCTTCAGCCAGCAGGCCAGGATTAGAAGGTTCCTGACTCCAGCACCCATTTGCTAATCTGGATGCAGACCATGCTGGCCTGCCTGCAAAACATTAGGTCACCTGACCTTCACAGCCCTTTACCTTCATCCCAGGGCAATCATTTTCTCCCAGTGGAGCTACTGGGAAATGAAACAGAGATTAATCCAGCCTAAATAGCTACACAACATGAAGGGTTGAATAAATAAGGAAAAATTGTAGAGCAATCATTTAGAAATGGCTCAAAATCAAACAGTACCTGAATGGTTTACTTCTAATTAGTTTATGAAGCTCAGGGAGGCACAACCAGAGAAATAATTAAATTTAAGGTTAGAGAGGACAGGCTGGTTTGTTTTTAGTCTTAGGATCCATTTTCATTCTCTAAATAGCATTAAGGGTTTCATGCTGGTTGCAGTGATCAAAGATTGATAACTCTGTCCACAGGAGGCTCTTTTCATTATGGAAACCACAGACGAGCAAATAGTTTAGAGGGGAAGGTGTTTTGAAATTGTGCTGTGAGGCATCCAATGATGAAGGATTTGTGATTGCAGTCCTCATTTCAGACCTTAAAAGGAGCATGCTTGCCTGACAGCTTCCTTAGCCTTTTTTCCTCTGCTCTTATGTCTGTCTGATAAAAGCTATTGCCGCTCCCCATAAACCTTGCCTTGTTACATCTACATCTCTACTACAGTATTACTAATGTTAATTGTAATAGGCCAGGAGACCTTTGTTTTGCTTGCTGAGAGAAAAATATTTTTAGAAACATTCAGAGAAAATGCTATGTATTTCTCTTCATGCTGAGTAACATTTTTCTTCCTAATATTCTAGGAAAATGAAACAGAAGTACTGGAGTTACTGGCAGACTGATCCTGTACCCAAGGAAGGCAATGACAGTTTCCATAACCCATGACTATACCCTGGAAGCCAAGATTCTGCCTGTTTTGCTTATGCTCAGTATTAGAATATATCTTACTGATATCAGTGCAGTTCTCATGGCATACCTTGATGTAAGCAAGACTGACAAAGGTGGTCACCAGGCCACTCATTCCATTCTTTTTGGTCAATTATCTTTCAGGATGTTCTATAACATGTTTGGTTTTGGTCCATGATACTAAAAAAGGATTCAGTATGGGAGGTGCTTTCCCTGCCATAGGGTTAGCTGAATAGAGCAACCTCGTCCTATTATCTTGGCTCCAGCAAAGGATCATATGCCAATCTTTAAAGGGAACAAACAACTTCTGTCCCTGTGCTTACTGGAGTCCTTACAACGCTTCTGTCCCAGCATTCCCGTGGGAGAAACCAGCTTGAGTCCATGTCCACACATGTGAGAACATTCCCTTGGCTATTTCTTTCTCTGAGGATTAGTGGCATTTGATTTGCTTGGTAATAACAGTACTTGAGTAGATAACACTAACAAAAAAAAAAAAAAAAAAAAAAGAGGGGAATTAGTGCTTCAAATTCTGTCTATATCCAAGTTTTCATTTTTCTCCTTTCCAAGAGAAAAGGACCATTTCTGGCACAGGCTCTTCACAAGCAGCCTCATTGTCATACCCATGTTTTTTAAGGCCTGACATGCCTGGACAAGAAGAAAGAGATTTAGCCACCTTTAAAACTACTAATTGATCTGCAAAGATATATGAACCAGCTGATGATGTCATATCAACGTATTAGAGAAAATTTTATTAACCCTAAGGCATCCACTGGTATGAGCTTGCACATTAAGGCAAGCAAGTTTGGGACACAGTGATGCTTTCTGCTTGCTGGGCTCAGCTCTTTAGCCTTTCCTGAGCACTTTCACTGGGAGGTCATGCTCTACCCCACTCCTGAGATCTGAGGTTACAGCATAAAGTGAATTTTCCCTTTATATAAATAATTAATGGTACCAAACACTAGCTACGGAAAGCAATTCAAGAGCTAGAAGACATGCAGCAAGTTAATAACTTTAATCATATCAAATCCAGGTGATCAAAACCACTAATCCAGCCATAAGGTATAAAAGGCTATAAAACCCATTGAGAAACCTAAGGAAAAGTAGTTAGTATTCTGTTTTAAAGACTTGCAATGGCAATACTGAGTAGCTGTAGAAATTTATAGTTAAAAGGAGCTGTTTCTGAATAGAATCACACTAATTTTAGAGTTTCCAAATATTATATCTAAATATAATATTAATATAATTTTCATATGGCCATAGTTTCACACCTGTTCTGATAATTCAACAACCTGAATGTAAAGCATTACCAGAGTGTTTGGAAGCCATAAGGGGAGTCATGCTTAAAGTCTATAATGTGACATGAGACTTGGGATTTATTTGTACCCCTGATGACTTAGCCCTCCCACTCTGCTAGCAGGCAGGACTCGATCTCAGCATTCATAACATTCTCACTGCTGTGGTTTTACTTCTCTGATGTATCTGTTTACTTAAAATATTAGTAATGCCTTCAAAAAATCCTTCTGTGTTGTCTTTTCTTTTTTTACAGCAAATCTGTGTTCTCTTACAGTAATTTGCTTTCCTAGCTCATCATTATCTTTCGTACAAATAGATTAGGGATGAAAAATTTTATTAATGATATTGTCATGACACTTACTTGGTCCAAATGAGAGACTCAAAGCAACTTACAGTAGATCTGCCAATGGCAGGGAAATATATATTTGTTGGCTTAGAGTTTTTGAATCTTTCAATTTTTATAGACTTTAGAAGTACTTATGTAGTGAATGTAGATTTTAAAGTAGCCATATTATATCCCTCACCCTTTAGCACAGTAGTTTACACATTTTCTCAACACTGTTGCCCCATTCCATATCACTTCCTCAAAATTCCGTTAATTCCGTTAGCTTGTTTAGACTTCCCTCAAGGCAGGCCTTCATTCTGTTTAAGAACATCCGCACCCTGGCCTGGACAATAAGATATCACACAGACACAGGACTTTGGAGGGCCTCCAAGGACTGTACGTGCTGTGATGAAGAGGAAGATGATGAAAGAGGGGTCCCAAACTCCCCCAGACTCAATTCCCAAAGGGGTGTGCTGAGGGCAGGGCAGAACTGGGGGCTGGACAAGCGGGGATTGGATGGACATCATTATAAAATTGTAGCACCTGGATTGAAAGCGCACGTGCGACAGTTGTATTCCCGGAGTATGGTGGCTCATTAAAACTTCTACTTTCTTATCTTATCTCCTACCTAACTGGGCCTGGAGTTTTTTTTTTTCCCTCGGTCTTTTAGGCAACAGTTAATTCTATTTATTATGGAACACTGGCAATAAATCTTTTCAACTTGATCCTATTTTAATGTAAACCACCATACCTATGTTGGGACAGATGGCAGAGGACATCTGGGGACAGCCCCAGCCCTGGGTTTAGGGGACCTCCCTGGGGATGAGGACAGGCCAGGCTGAGACATCCATCTGTGAGTGGAGGTGGCTTGGTGGGACCCATGGCCAGTCACATGGCTGTGGGGTGGTGAGGAGCTGCAGCTCAGGCAGGGCCATGGTGAGAGCCTTAGCTGCAAGCAGCTCCTCCCATCAGGGTCTGGCCCCACAGTGCCTGAGAGCCTCTCCCCAGAGTCACCATGGGGAAGGGGCCACCCTTGGCTGCACCAGCTCTGAGCTGGCCTCCAGCCCCAGCAGCCAAACCTCCATGAGCCCCTGGGGATGCTCTCATAATCCTTACAACAGAGCTCACCATCACGCTTTCCCAAACAACTACTTCACAAAAGCTGCATTGTTATTCTTTTATGGCTAGAGCACAACAGACAAAGAAACAACTGTCATATGCACCCACCAGTTTGGGCTGAGCATGCTTTTCCAGGCACTGTTGGCTCTGTGGCCACGCTAGTGCTAGTAAATGAACCATGCCTGCAGCACTTTGCTGCATCTATTGCTTCGGAGAAAACTTGAGGTTTTCTGATTACGTTTCTTGGCCATATTTTTTCTCTTTACAGTAGCACATTAAAGTTTTTATGAAAAAGGAAACTCAAACATGACTCAAAACCAAAAATGTAAGAGGTTACCTAGGAACAGCAAAATGGCAGGACACGTGCCAAAGTGGTACTACTTGGCAGCAGGAACTCTGTCGTGTACAAATGGGCCTTTTAAAATGCCTGAAAAAAAGCTGCTTTAGCCCAGGACCCCCAGTGGACAAAAAGCCCGTGGCTTTCTGAGCAGCATAATTTTATTGTTACAACCTGTAGTAATATTACCATTATAGTAATAATGAATTTTTCATTAATATCAGGCTGAATTGGATTAGGTAGCAGCCTTTAGCTGTGTTGGTATCATGAGTGTCACTCTGACAAGAGCCTCATGGCTGCAGGCACCACACAAACACAGCAAGAGGTTTCACCTACCCCCTAGGAGCACGTGCTCCCAGGACTCTCCATAGCAAAACAGAGAGCATTCTCAAACAGGACCTGAGCAATTTCTTTCCCTACATTTCATTTGTTTGCTTCACCAGCTGCCTCTTTCACTTCTCAAAATAACAGCACATTAAAAATGCTTCAGTGTAAGGTGTAAGAGCCACATGCCTTCATCACTCTAACTTAGCTGGGAAATGCACCTCACTGCTTATTAAATATTTATTTATTTTATATTACTGATGAAGCAGACCATGGAGAGAACTAGAAAACTCTAGCTTGGAAATATAATGAGGATAAACATAGAGAAACTCCCATTACAGAGCAAGATAGCAGCAGACAAAAATTCTGAATCCTTAAAACACTTTCCTTGTCCTCATTTACTCCTTACAGTGGGATGCTGATCCTGGTAGCTAAAAAACATGCATCATTCCCATGCCACAGCGCTGCAGGTGGTTGCTAGGCGAAAATGAAGTTTTCAGACCATTATGTTACTATCCCACAGGCTGCAAATAATCTGTGCACAAGAGCTGCTTATTAAGTGGTAATTCATGCAGTTTCAAGGAGTGTCTATGATAGAAGTCCTTCTCCCTTTATCCAACTCAGACTTCTGAATTCTTAAGAAGACTTAGGAGGAGATTTTAGGTGCTGCTGTGCACAAAACCGCTCCTGGTATTGTTTGACTTATACAACCAGTTGCCTTCAGTGCATGCAGGAGATGGAGAATTAATCAGCAGAGAGACAGCAGGTGTTTTGAGCCCCTATTCTTTTCTGTGGCACCTGCAGGGACCATCAAAATACATTGGTATGTCATACCAAGATTCAGTGAATGACATAATCTAACAGATGCTTTATTCTCTGATAACCTTAGCTGAAGCAGACCAGAAGCAAATGGTATTTGTATTTGAACAGCGGATCAGAAAGTAGGAAGCTCAAAGAACCCTATCCAGCTCGTGTGCCTGGTAATGCCAAATGAAGAAAAAAGTACATCTTCAGAGCACGTTTTGCAGGACACATTAGCACATACCTCAGTGTTATCTTATTAAAAAAAACCAAACCAAACCAAACCAAAATCATCAAGAAGTGGAGAGCCACATCTGACCCATAATAACACATTATTGAAATTCAACATGAATGACAAGTCTTCAGTGCAATGGAGACTAATACTTAAGTGCTCTAAAACAGTCAGGGGGCACGTGGGTCCCATATATCCTACTGGAACTCTGTTAACTCAAACTTCCCACTCAAAGATGTATATGCTGGATGACTATCAATCTGACTTTGTCTTTTAAAATCAGGCTGAGAAATACAACTGCATTTGAGGACCGAAAGCCCAACCTTCAGAACAAAGAGATGTCTGGTAAAATCCAAGATGCTGTAAGAAATAATTAGATGGCAGTAGTACAGTCAGATCAGCCCTGTGGTTGTCTTCAAGTTTCGAAAATGGAAGAAAGGTTAGCATCTGACTGACTGCCAAAAGAACCCACATCAGTAGTTCATATTACATGAAATGTACCTACAATATTAGTTTCGTACAGTTCCAATATTTTCAGGACTGATTATACATTTGGGAATACATATGAGGAAAATAAGACCATTATTATGCAAAAACCAAACTCCCAAACTTTATTTGTCACAATACATTTCAAGTCCATGCAGAATGTATTTACATTTCTCTATAAGGCAAACAGAAATTGGATTCTTATTCCTGAGTTGCTTAGCACCAGTAGAAATAGCAAATAGGAACTTAGGAAATGTTGTCTCTCCCTTTGGAGTAGCAGCTGTTTCCCATGCAAAATCTTTCTGCTTTCACTTCCCAATTCTTTTAATGAGCTATTTATACTGATAATCTCTATTGCCATTTGAAGACATTTCTGCAGATTTCAATCTCTTCACAGAAACTTCTTGTCATGATGTGACAAACTTTCCACATTTATTATTTTACCTTCCGGACTGTTTGCTGACTAGACAGCACAGCAGTGCTTCCATCTTTGCTGACATATGGATCAAGGTGTTCTCTTCAGTTATTTTAAGAGTTCTGTATTTCTCCAGTATCTAGAAA